AGTCTGGTAAATTAGGGACTGGGACGCAGGACATGATTGCTTCCCACAAACACCTGAAATCCTGTGAGGAGTAAGTGCTGCTCAAGATGAAAGACAATTCCCAAGAAATGGGAATACAGTGGCTGATTTTAAACTGAAAATTAGGAGGATCAGTAGAGCAATGATGTCCTGGGACAGTCAAGACAAAAGGAAATGGAGACACATAAGCCACTTTTAAGATGGAATAAACACATTTACAAAGGAGATTGTAGGATGTAGTGGCTATGACAGCAAGGTACAAGACTTGGTCATCCAGGACATCTTTTTTAATCCCATGATCTTGAATATAGACATAAAACGAGGAAGAAATGTTTTCCCCTCCTGTTTAGGTAAGATACCAATTAAAAAGGTGCACAGACCGGTACTACTGTGGTGCAAACTGCAGTTTTGCTGTAGAGAAATGCTGGAGAGCAGCATTTCTGTAGCAGGCTGCAAAGCAACCGAGTGATTTGGCAAATAAGGACAAAACCATCTCAATTATAACGTTTCACTTTCAACATTTCAATCTGTGCAGAAATACCTCACAGAAATACCAATTAGCTGCACCAGAACAACAAACAACTTGCTCCCATTGATATCTATGACAGTCTCAATTCATATTTCATCAGTTCCTCTGCCTCTTCTGCTGTGCTGTGTTTTAGCAATAAATGGTTTTCAAGTGTCAGTCAGGAAACTACAAAGCCACACTATCATATTGAGAGCAAATTTCAGCTCCCCTTGATTGAAATTGCAGACGCCAGCCCTGACAGCAGCCCATGCCACTGCTCCCACAGTGAAAGTCTGGGAGTAGGATAGCCAATTCCCAGCATCACAGCACAAGAAAATCTCTTTGGTAGGGTTCAAATGTGTGGAATTTCTACCAGCTATGCACAGGAGAAGACAATGGGTGTATTTATTAGCCTTCCTGGACAAAAAGCATCTCTTAATGCTATATTTTGTAGTTTGACTTTGCTTGAAGAAATATATTACCATATTCCATATGTAACAGATTTTTTTTTTAACAGAAGGTTGAGGTGAAGCCACCTGTGCTTCAAGATTACTGAAAAGTTACTTTTCATTTTTCAAGTGCAGACAAAACCTGTAGTTTTATGTACTTACACTCCTCAGAGGGAGTGCAAGCTCCTGTTTAGGCCCAACCCCCTTCCCCAGGCACAAGCTGAGCCACAGCCTTTCTATGGCAGCTACTTCAGCACATTTATTGGGGTACACAGAGACAGGAACACCGTACTACTGTCATAAGGCTGTTTTAATTCTAGTCTCCTCTTTAAATAGGTTGCTGGAATATCACAACTCCTATAGAACTCAAGACTTTTCTGAGCTTTGACAAGATCAATTGCTGGATATTGACTTCAAACTCTGCACACCGCAACACTTTGATCTCATGCAAGTACCTTTGGTTTACTATTTAAAAAAGCAAGAACAAAGCTATACCAAAATCAATGCAAGAAAGAGCAGAAATCTATCCTTAATCTGACTATATTTTATGGTAACAGACAGTCTGTCTGGAAATCAATTCCTTGAAATGTGCTGCATCTGAATTATTACTTCTAAATCTCCTGCATAACTTGAAATTGAGATTTTGTTTTATCTTCTTGCAGATGTTCAAACCTTGTCAGGAGAGCAAGATTTGATTGCATTCAAATTTGTAGTTAATCTCACTTTACATCTTCATACTGTCATTTTGCCTTGCTCTTCACTCTCTCTCTGAGAAGCAATGCTGGCTTTTCGTGATACTGAAAGCCTTGTTTGCATTCCCTCCTTCCATAATGCTTCCATCCTTCAACATTATGTTTTAGAAAGCAAGAACAAGGTGACCAGATGTGACTGGAGCTAATTCAACATACACATCACTTCATCCTGAGAGGTCAGATGAAATTACATATACAAAACATGTTTCAGCATCCACTCCTTAGTTCTTTGGAAAGATTAATTTCTTATTCCTTACCAACTCAGAAGGGAAATGACAAAGCCTATTATTTTCACAGTTGCCATTATCTAGTAAATACAAGGCTAAGGTCAGTTAGCAGTAGCTGGATATGCTCACAGTTAGCACAGATTACTAAATTAATTACAGCAACCTAGAATAATTTCTAATTAGAATTACACATGACCCTTCTTGCTGGAAGCCAGACAAAAACTTTTTGAATGCTCACAGCAGGGTAGGCATAATTTGTGTTAAGTCCTTAGGCGTAGATTTCAGCCCAAACAATTACAAACATACAAATAATTGCACTTGTAAATCTCTCTGAAGCCTGCAAATTATTTCTGTCTTTTCACGTATTCCTGCCACTTGATCCCAAAGCTCAGAAGGAGCAGTAAGTTGGCATTATTCTGTGAATTGAAAATCTTCTTGCACACGTGTCAGAGGCACTGGATTGAGCCCAAGAGCCCATTTCCTCTTCTGCAGCCATCACAGGACCCATTTAAAGAGATGCTCATGGAGAATGTCATTACTGAGAACACAAGCCTGTGCCTTGCACTGGAAGGAGGCTTGTGGCTCACCTTTGCATGGGCCACCTCAGGGAAGCGAGGCATTGTACTGAACTTTGTAGGAAGAACAGCCCACAATTCCTGCAATTGTTCCCTCCTGCACCTTCACACGTTCAAAGCCCTGTGAATTCAAGCCCACAGAAAATAATGAGCAGTTCCTCTTTACTGTGACATGAGGGATGCTACACCCACAAGTAACTCTGCTGCACTGAGCAACGAGGTTTTTCTCTTACTTTACTGTTTCTGCTGGAAGCTATTTTTAAGGATAGGTATCACTTTTATTAGAACCACCAGGAGACAGGTAACAGTACAGAATAAAATCTTGGGACTACATAGCTCCTGTTTCACAGCCTCTGACAACACTCCCACATTTATCTCTAGGTTTACCCATAACCCTGCAGCCCACTTGTACTGTGGTCATTTTGATTTCCAGAATCCAGAAAGCCTTTAAACACACAGCTGGGATCCTGTTAGCTCCCAAATCCTGTAGCTCCTCTAGCACCAAACTGTACCCCTGTGCCTTGTCTGCTGCCTGACTCCTGTCTGGTCAGGCACCAGCTACTGATCCCTCTTCCCTAGCAGGACCAGCCTCCTCCTCACGCTCCAACACTTCCAAACCTTCAGCCTCCACCCCTCAAACACTAACTCCAACTTCTTGCAGTGCTGGGACTGCAGCTGCTGAACCCCCAGATAAACAAAATGAGAGCTCTGTGCCAGCCAAGTGCACATCTTCCAAAAAGTGGCATCTGCCACGAGTGAATTGCTCAGTGCCCTCAAAGCTCAGAGTTAATTATGCAAATTGTAAATTGAGACTAAACCGGCCACCCATAGGGCATACCAAGGAAATAAAGACATTAAAATCAGATTCCTGAACATGTCAGTGACACAACTACGCCAGAGAGGAGAAAGTGAGACCTGGGGGCTGACAAAATGTAATTAGCAAATGAAAAACTGCCATCCCAATTCCTGAATGGGACTAGTAGCATTTCCAAGCAGCTGGTTCTGAGGTGAGGTTGTGAAGAGCAGGAACATGGACCAACAGATCACACATACAGGGACTCATCTTACAGATAACTAGAAAAATTTGCACTGAAAATGGTCCTATTGACCTCAGCCATTATATACCCAGTTAAACAATAGTAAGTAACATTATTTATAATTAATAAATTATTATTGTTTATTAAATTATTATTTATTATTACTTATTAAATTATTGTGATATAATAATTTATAATTATTTAGTAATCCTTAATAGTTAATTGTTAATTAATTAATATTAGAGCTCTGATTATAAAAGGTATTCCAGCCCATCCCAGATTTTAAAATTAAACATTTGCATGGCATTGGGAACAAAGGTTAAACATGCTATAAAGAAAAAGCACCACAAACATGAAAGCATTTAGGTGGGAAACACGAGCTGGATCTTTACATTCCTTGCATATCACCTATTTATGCCAAAATTGTACAGCCATTACATATCTATTGACACCATTCTGCTGCCTCTTTTTGAAAATATAAACGATTGCATGATGTAAAATGATGGAGAAGTCACAGGTCAGAATCTGCAGCCCTTCTGTTTGGCTGTAGCTTTTCCAAACAAAATGTTCTACTTGGAATAAAATATTCTACTCAGAATAATGAAAGACAAGCTCTATAAATAAAATAAGATTTGAAGCAGCAAGAAATACAGACTTGTGCATACAGAGAAAAAGAGAGAAATGGAAGAGCAGACCCAGTTCTGCCATGAGGGAACTCTGCCATCACTCAGCATTGTTCACCTAATAGTGGCTTTCACTTCTGTTCCTTGCCAAAGCATCTGCTAACCTGTATTTGGCCATGAGCAAATGGCAGCCTTGGGAAGGATATTTCACCATGCCTTTCATGTAGACATTTGCAGATAAATTTCAATGAAAATATAATTGAGAAGATCCGCATTATCCATTTTAAAAAGATACACCGCCAACACTAAGCTTTAGAATTGATAACTACATTATTCTGAGAATCTTAATTCAAAGGCTGAATAATACTTCAGTTGTTTAAAAAGATGGAACTTCTGTCATATGGGAAATTCTAATAGTGTTGTTTTTTTTCTCTTCTGAATGAAAACGTCAACAACAGAAGCCAAACAAGCAAACAAAAACCCCATCTCAAAAGAAATGCCTTCAATCTTTTTTTAGAAGTACTCAACTATCATTTCAATTCAGAATTATAAGTGGATTTCATTTTACTAGTGAGGAAAATCAGAGTATAGAAGTGGATACAAAGTCATTGAAAATTATTTATGATTACATAGAATAGAAACAGAAAGAACAAAGCTATTTTAACATAATATAGATGGAACCAGGTTATATTAAACTACTTTAAGACTGACAGATTCCAAAAAATATTTTGCTTGTTTTTACAACAGAAAGAGTTTGCATAGAACCTGTTCCACTGATTTCTTTTTCCATTATGTTTCACTATAAATGCAGGACAAGACCAAACAAAGATGAGACAGAAGTATGGCGATTAAATTCAGAGGAAGACTACGAGCATCCAAGTCACAATCACAGAGATAAAAGGTCTTGTTCCTGCATTCATCTTCAACAAAAACTTACTTCAGGTTTATCTACCTAACCTGGCAGCACCAGCACAGTGGGAGGAATGGCACACATTTTGCCCCAGCTCTACACTTCTCTGTACCCTGTGTAATTATTTCTAAGTGTATGACTACAAACCATAAAGAGCTGAGATACCTTACAGCCACACTGCAACTGTAAATCAGCACATGTAGTACAGAGGGATGACTAACTGGGCACTGAGTAAGGGATTGGCAAGGTACAAAATATGAGACCTTTTGGTAATTTGGTGGGTTTTGGTAATTGCAGCTCTGGGAGGCACAGCATTTGGGCTTCACATTTCCCCAGCTCTCAGCAAGGCTCTCAGGGTGTGCCCTCACCAACCCTGCTTCTGCCACCTGGAAATCTTAACTCTTCCTCCTCCAAGATGTGGCACACCCAAGTCTTCAATGATTAAAAAAAGTAAGAAATTCATAAACTGCAGCTCTGGAGCAGATCCTGCTGTGTATCAATCACATCATGGCAGATGGTGAGCAATTCCCACCCTGGAAGTTGAGCAGTCCTAGAGTGAGCAACAGAGGCTTCAAGTGAACATATATTTGGTACATTTTATTTAACTGAGCTCATTGCAAATGAAAGAACATTTAGGGAATGAGCTAATTTATATGTTTATTAGGGCACTGAGCAGAGCAAAAAGCCTGGGATTAATCACAGCAACCCCATGAGTTTACGTGAAAGAGAACAAAACCTAAACGGCTGTTTTGAAAGCAGGGTAAATCTAACCCCATGCCTCCCCCCATGAATGCTCATTAGCTTTTTTTCTTTAGTCACAGACAGTGTATGCAGGCTTGTTTTCCTGCCCTGCCTCTTGTCTGAAAGCTCTGGAAAGGGACCCGCCCCTCAGTTGCGGGGAAATCAGATCTGTTTGTGTCTCACTGTAAAACCAGGCTGCTCTGAAATCCCTTGTATTCTCCCCACAAACATCCTCTGCCACTTACGCTGTCATTCTAACTCAGCAGGCAACATCGAACTCAACCTGAGAACTTCGTAGAGGGATTTTAGCTACTGAAAGAAAACATCCAATTTGTTTCTTTTCACATAAATGATGCATTATTTATATAAATATTTCAACCACCCACACTCCTGAAACTCCCCCCCCACCAGCTTCTTCCAGAGCTCACCACCATTCTCAATCAAAAAATTGGTGCTTACATTTTCCCTACTTGAAATTGTCTCCCTATTCTCAGCAACCACCGTCTCTTGCTTCCCCTACAAGCACTCCCAGGCAGAATTATTAACGCCCCATGACAACAGAAGCAGCCCTGTGGCATTTGGGTTTTGTACACAGCCTAATGCACAGCACCAGAACCCTTTGGCTTGTTGGGAGGATGCAACCATTTTTGAACTCACTGTAACTAATAAAAACCTGTGAAGCAGACTGAATCCTTTGGAAAACGCTCATCAGGAAGGCCCTCCCTTTCCCATGCCGTATTTAGCAGCAGAGGAGAGTGGAACCTGCGGAGATGAATGGGTGCCAGAGATATTTTGCATTCCATATTCAAGCTTCCTGTACACAGGAGATTGCTCTAAAGTCTGAACTGAATGCAGCAGGTGTCCCACTTCCCACTCCCATCCCAGGCTTGGCTTTAGCAGCTGTCCATAACCTTTAAGGCCGGGTCTATTGCCAATCTCACTCTAACACTGGTACTGACCGAGAGAAACGCACTTCATCCCGCTTTGAAAAAAATCTCAATCACCTGCCTGCAGGGAACAGAAAAAGTGCTGGGACTCACCCAAATTCACCCTCAGCAAGAGCTTCTCTCTCATGGCAAAGCTGTGTGGCAGAAGTCCAGGTCAGCCTCCAGCCTGGAACAAAATATGTGCAGACAGCACCTCATCACCTCCTTTGCCAGTAAGGCTCTCAGTGAATGCTTGTCAGGGCTGGGCAAACTCAACAGCCTTGGTCAATCCATTATCAGAATATTACAGCAATATTAAAGAAGGGCCTCCTATGGCTTCCAGATTTTAGTTATCTTGGCCTTGTTCCTTTTAATTAATTTTAGGCAATTACTAAAAGTTTACAGCCCACTTCAGATTAGCTCCATGAGCCAAATGACATGGATTGTGATTTGTAACAGCAAGTGCTGTTACAGCAGCCCAGCCCAGTGAGAGCCAGCAGTCTGTGACCACCTGCCTTCCTATTCTGCTCTTCCTCTTTCAGTATTTACAGCCAGAGGTGGCAAAGAGGACAGTTGCTCTGCAAAATGCACATTGAAGCTGAATGAAAGTCAAAGCCAAGGGAGCCATGCTATGTGTGCCTGATAAGCAGATCTCTGGTGCAGCAGAGAGCAGCTGCCTGGTGCGGGCTCCACATCACAGGGCTTCACCCTCTGCACTGCCCTCAGCAGAATGAGATGCCCAAGGTACAGTTATGCTCCAGTCAGATCTCCCTCTTCCTTCTGTGGTTCATACAATCACAAACCAAGCCTAACTATTACAAACTAATGAGCTGTTTTCCTCTGATGCAACAAAATCCTCCTAATTTGCTCTGGTGAGACCCACCTGCAGTGCTGCATCCAGCTCTGGGGTCCCTCCAGCACAGGAAGGGCTTTGACCTGTAGGAGCCAGTCAGCAAGATGATTAGAGGGATGGAACAGCTCTCCTATGAGGAAAGGGAAAGAGAATTGGGATTTTTCAGCTTGGAGACAAGAAGGTTTTGGGATTACCTAATTGTGACCTTCCCAGTACCTGAAGGGAGCCTAAAGAAGGCTGGAGAGGCATTTTTAACAAGGGTCTGGAGTGACAGGACAAGGGGGAATGGCTTCAGACTCACAGAGAATAGGTTTAGATTAGCTATTAGGAAGAAATCGTTCCCTGTGAGGGTGGTGAGGCCCTGGCACAGAGAAGCTGTGGCTGCCCCATCCCTGGAAGTGTTCAAGGTCAGGTTGGATGGGGCTCTGAGCAAGCTGGGATAGTTAAAAGTGTCCCTGCCCATGGCAGGGGGTGGAACAAGAGGATCATTAAGGTCCCTTCTAGGACATTCTGTGATTCTATGATTTAATTGTATCAAGGGTGATAAAAGAGAAAAAACGGAAGAAACAAGGGAGAGGGATGGGCTTTGGGGGTAAGAACACCAAATATATGCCTAGAATAGCTGTTTGAAAAAGAAACCCAAAATTTCCTTTTATTTTTAAGTTTCCAAGCTAATACATCCTGTATTAAATTAAACACGGGACTTGAATTAAAAACACACCTTGAGATTCATCCAGCAAATAATTCAAGCCCAAGTGTTCCCCCTCAAGGATAGAATAGCCAAGGCCAAGGGAAATTATATAAACAGTTTTCTGCAAAACAAAACCAGTGTAGCAAAATCTACAAGCTGCTGTAAGATGCAAAAGGAGGTACGTTCACAGATTGCTGGATCTTCCCAAGAGGGGCTAGAAAGGAAAAGAAGAACTATATAACATTCTACTGACTGTTCAAATCACATTACTGCAGCACTGGGGAAGCATTCCAACTTCCAGAAGTGAAACAGTGGGGCTGTTTACATTCCTGCACCAGGTACAGGCTTTGTGCTTACAGTCACAACAAAGGAAAATATCAATTCTGTGAAATAGTGTTTGAAAAGAAAATGTTGGAAACACAGATAGAAGGAAATTTCTAGAACAGATGAACTGAAAAAGGTTCAATTTTGGTGCAGTCTTAATGCACCATCAATGAGCTTCCCATAAAGGCTCATAAAGGAAGATATCCTGAATACCATGAGGTCACTGCCCTAAGATGACCATTAAAGAGCCATAAATGTCCTATCACTAAATAATCCCTCAGTGTACTGGTAACAAAATGTTTGTTTGGAAGGGCTGTCACTTCACTCCAGAGCAACATTGTGAGGTTCAAGTCAGCTTTCAAAATTATACATAACTAAGCACTTGATCAATTTAATTGGTAGGACAGTCACTCATCACTGCCAGCAGAGTTTACAAGTGGCAATCTTCCCAACATCCACTGTGTGTTAAAAACAGGCTTCCAGCATTAGTGCTTTCATGTACCAGTACAAAGAGCACAATCCCAATTTTGGAATGCAATCTGCTCAAGTATCCAAGGTTACAAATTTTGGTCCAATTTATGGTCCTTATTAGAACTGCATGAACAATCTTCCCCCACTGAGATGCACAGCAGGCCCTGTAGGATGGCCCTGGGCTGCTGGCACCTCCTGGGGCTGTGTCTCAGGTGCTCTGGCAGCCTCAGTGTGGTCACTGCATCTTTCTGCTCATCTAAAAATGAAGTCATGGAGCAATGAAGAAATAAGACTGAACCAATAAAGCATCCCTCATTTAGCCTACTGGAAATCTCCTTCACCGTCCTAAGCAGGAAAATGTCCTCATCATGGAGCTACAGCATCCCTCTCTCCGAACAAAGACTGGTTTTCTTTATTAGAGCTTTAACAGCTTTTCACCCCTACAAGTTTTCCAACTGTCCCAGCAATGAGGGTTCAGTGCTTCACAGGAATCCACTTACAAAGGCAGTAGCTCTCACCATGAGAAAATTTCATCCTACATCTTGTACCTGGCTTGATTTCATCCCACTATTTTGGCTGTAGCCAAATAAATAACTTCGTCATCTGTCTTCTGTTTAATGTTTGTAACACATCAGTTCTTTCAATTGGTGTTAAGACTCCATCTTTTTTGCCAAAAATCTAGATGGTATCTAAAATCCAATCTTCTAAATTGCAAAGATGTACCAGCAGAACAAGGGTTTGCTCCCTGCTTGGTAACAAGGTTCCCAGACCAGCCAGAATGGCTCCTGTTGCAGTTACACGACACCATAGCTGCCACCTACTCACCCATCCTTAGGTTTCTCTTTGCATTACTTTATTTGCCGTGTTTCTCCCTCAAATCTATCATCTCCTCACTTGGATTACTTTTTTCTTTTCATGTGCTAGTTTGCACTTTTCCTAGTTAACTGTAAAGTTTTCTGACCACACAGCAATATCTCTGGCCTTGAGCTATTACTCCTA